TTTGCTCTCTTCTTTTGGTTCATTGTCAGGGGTCTGTTTAGAAGAAATTTGGGTACGTTAACGGACCCTTCACAAAATATTTTAACTTAAAAACGGACCCTTCACAAAATGATTTTTCTTTTAATCGGACCCTTCACAAATTTATTTATCTTCATTATTGTTTTGTTAATCGAATAAACCCTTTCCAGGGCAGAAAGCAAGAAAGATGGATGTAAACGAATTAAGTTTTGTCTTCGGTAGACGATTCTTCCATTATTCGTCTGAAATGAATATTATAATATTGGCTAAATACCAAATATTTGTAAGTTGCATCTCTAATTTAGAAGTAGCAATTGCTGTTTATTTTTGAAAATTAAATTTTTTTAATATAATTTTACAGTGTTGAGAATAATCTTGAATGTCTTGACAATTTAAAAACTCCTTGAAAAAGTGTTTTGCGATAAACGGACCCTATTTGCCCAAATTCATAAAAGCGGACCCTGGCTGAAAGAATGTGAGTCATATTTTCACAATTTCACGAAAAACGGACCTTTCACAAAATGTCTGGACAGACCCCCGATTGCATCCACAAAAAATAATGCTATATGTGAGTAGCAAGGCACGGGAGCGAACATTTCGTTCACTATAACGGGGTTTGACTGTATATATTATATATATATCATGTTATAATGAAATTTTCCCTGATAAAGAACATCAGGTTGCTTTTACATTTACGAATGTCATCACATCATTGAGCCCATTTCAAATAATAATCTTATCTTATCAACAACCATTTTCACACTCGACTTCTTTTCATAAGTGTAGACAAAATATGAGGATTTTTTTTTTTTTTCTTAATCGATTCGAATAACCAGAGATAGGACATTGAGGAAATGAAAATTCTTGAGAAATGCCCTTAAAAAATTAAGATTCGACGCCACGTTTTAACTTTTTTTTTTCTTTTCTAAATTACCATATCGTTACCTGAATTTATAACTCAAATCGTAAAAAAAAAAAAAAAAAAAAAAAAAAAAAAAAAAAAAAAATAGTAATTAAAATATATAATTCAAGAATAAAATGTAAATAAATACCAGATAAAGATAAATAAGAATTTATTAATCTTCAGTTAAGATCTTCAAGAACGTCAGAATTGCATCGCACTTTAAAATGTTTTTTGACATTCCCAAAATCGAAAAAAAATGTCTTTCCTCCAAAAGCTAATTTTTTACACTTTAAAAATTCGGTTTAATATCAACACTTGTTTTTAAGAGCATTATTTAAATAATAACTAGATTCATTGCAAAATTTATACTAACTTATGAAGGAAAAAATAATTTTACTAGCAAATCTCGTTTAAAATGAAAAATTTAATCCAAGTTGATGAAAAAAATGACCAAAAAAAGGGAAAATAAAATAGAGAGAAAAAAAATGCCCTATGACAGAAAAAAAACGACCGAACATGGGAGGAAAAACATTATAACGGTTGTAATCTCCTTCCAAAGACTTGGATTGTTTAACCCGGCTGTGAACCCACAGAATCTAGTGTAGCAGTGTTGAAATCGAATTCGGGCTACTTTTGGGGCTTTTTTTTCTTCCTAACTCTACAAATCTTAAAAATGCTCTTTTTTTTATCTCTCACAGAAATATATATAGATTTTTTTTAATTTTTCCCTTCCCATTTTAAAATGATTCTTAAAATTCTGCAGTTTCTTTACTTTTTGAAAAAATGATTTTTTTTTTTTTTTTTTTTGAAAACGCATCCGCTTTAGTTTCGGATTCTTGATTTGCTGCACGGAGTGTATAATCTTTCTATATACATATATATCTTCGTTGCAATTCGTAAACTCGTGAAATCACAAAGATATATATAGAACAGTGCACGGTGAATAATAAAAATTAGAAAGAAAAAAAAAACTAACCATTTGTAACCGCTTTGATTCTGGAAACCTTTAATCTGAGTTTAAACGAAATGTTGAATTTGACGAAATTTTTAACGTAATGTATTGAAATTTCAATACATTACGTTAAAAATTTCGTCAAATTCAACATTTCGTTTAAACTCAGATTAAAGGTTTCCAGAATCAAAGCGGTTACAAATGGTTAGTTTTTTTTTTCTTTCTAATTTTTATTATTCACCGTNTTTTTTTGGAGGGGGGGTACAAATGTTCGAATCTGCTGTTTTTGGAACTTGGGACTCCTATTCGCTAGTTTTCAATCTTAAATTCTAGCAACACTGGGTTGTAGAATGAACGTTCAAAAGTTTATAAATATTAAAAATAACTGAAGTAATACACAAAGGAGTATTTAAAAGAAGTCATTCCGATGGCATGATTATGTGAGCGCTTCCAAAAACAGAGAACAAATCCGAAATTCCAACTTTTAAATTCTTAATTTTTTTTTCCTTCCAAAACGGCGCGGCGCGCATATTTTGTTATGTGGAGAATATTTTGATTGTGATCCAACGTTTCGACTAAAGTTTCGCTATAGAAAGAAATTCGCTGTCAGTAAACTATGCTGTAAAGGGTCTTTACATAGTATTTCGTTAATTAATTTATTAAACAAATTATGTACTATTGCAAACACGCTTTGCGACAATACTGCTACAATACACCAAAAAATATTTTCTCAAAGAATTTGGATTTAGCGGAGTCCGATTGTACTTAGATTAGTATTGCATACGTTATTAATTTGTCCCGTTAATTTCTTTCTCTTAAATTATTTCCGGTGCGGAACGCTTCAGTAAGACCATCTTTTACGTATTGCTTTCCCACATTAATTTTTTTAAGGGCGTGTTTTACTATTTATAGTTCCCTGTAAAGATTATTCTCAGGAATAACATATGTCTGGTGACGATTCGCTTCGTGCTATAAGGGAGTGACTATTTAACTGTTCGTATTTCCACTATGCCAGCTCGTAAATTACAGATTTAAGTTTTCCTTAACACTAGAAAGACTGAAACTTATTATACACACTTTGGGCAATCTAGTGTTAAGGGATCTAAGAAGCTTTTCTAAAAAAAATTTTCGACTTTCTTCTTTTTTTTTTCCGGAAAAAATGTATGTTTTGATCTATTTATTCAGAGAATTAGGCACCCTGTCTTAGATGATGCTCCAAAGACTTCCTAAGTCATATATACTAAAATTCAACTCGCAGTAAAAAGAAAATAATAACGCACACAATTTTTTTAAGTGTAATCGTCTGCAAGCTCTAGTTATTGGGTCAGTTTTTTGAAGCTCAATCCGAGATGTTCTGACGATAGAGTTCGAGAACAGACAAAAGAGTTTTAAAAAAAAATTAATATAGAATATTTTCCAATGTTACATACACAGACAGTATTTTTACAGTAACTTTTACATCATTTTGTGCAGGGCCGGATTAAGCGAACGCGGGGCCCTAGGCCATTCAAATTTTTGGGGCCCTTTTACATTTTTTTTTCTCGTATATTTTTTATTTATTCAAATATAAAATTTTTTACTTTTCATTTAAGAATAAAATTAAAATAAATAATAAACTAAATTTTACTTTATTTCGTTAAATTAGAACAAAAAAAATAATCATAACATTTTGAAAAAATTTGAAATTTATTAACACTTCACAAAAACAACGCTACTATAACATTGTCTTGTGTTATAATTCTTATAGTACATAAACTATAATAATACTTATAAATAATAACTAAAATAAGTAATAAATAAATATGATTAACATTATGTAAAAAAATTATCGTATTTTTACAAAATTATCGTATGTTTTTCAAAAGTTCAAGAAATTAAGAACGATCTCCAAAAGCTGCATGTCGCGGGTCTCTTAATATTATTTATGTACCAAGTTTTGTCTTTAAATAAATTTTTCTCAATCTGATCAATATATCTGAGTATAGCATGTTACTTAAATTCATACTAGCATTTAAATATGGGCATATATAAGATTTTTCTTAGTCATAATAATAGAAAATCCAAAAAATTTACTTTGTTTACATTTAAAAAATACTTTCTATATTTCAATTTTAATAAGCTGAAATTGTATTAAAATATGAACATTTAAAGTTATTGTTACGTTAAATTTATTTACTGATAAAATGAAGCATCGATATTATTATTAAAGTGCCACTGTTGGAAAAAGATTTTTTTCTTCATGAATGGAATATTTGGGAAAATTGATAATGGTTTCCAAAAAAAATATTATGAATTGTTATGACAGGAGAAAACAAAGAAAAAACTTATTTTCTGTTATAATTGGGTATGTTCTTTTAAATTATCTTTACCTCCGAAAGATATATTTGGAACATTAGGATAAATGAGTGGGTTTCAAAAATGTGATATTATAAAATGCTATTATTTCTAAAAGCCAATTTTTTTTTCAGAAGATATATTTATATAAAATGATGATATATTTCAAAAATATTTAATATTATGAATCATATAAAGGCTCTATTTTGCAAACGATTTTTGTTTTCAGACGATACATATTAGAAATTAAATTGATAAGATTCCAAAAATATTAAATATTAAGAATTGTTATGACAGGAGAAAAAAAAACTTATTTTCTGTTATAATTGGGTGTGTTCCTTTATATTATCTTTACCTTCGAAAGATATATTTGGAACATTAGGATAATTGAATGGATTTCAAAAATGTGATATTATGAAATGCTATAGACTGTAATGCCAGATAGTTAGTTAGTTAATAGGCTTTATTTCTCAAAACCAATTTTATTTTCAGAAGATATAATTAGATAAAATGATGATATATTTCAAAAATATTTAAATATAATGAATCATATAAAGGCTCCATTTCGCAAAACGATTCGATGTTTTCGGACGATACATATTAGAAATTAAATCGATAAGATTCCAATTATAAATTGCTATAAGCTTTATGACACAAGTATAACCTTTAGAAAGACGCGATTTTGCTGAGCATAGTAGAGAACTTAATAGAGCATGCAAAATATTTCCGACTGTATTATAATAATTAGATGTTAAGCGATAGGCACAAGGGAGAAAAAATATAGTCACTCACCCACACTTTACGGAGAAAAACCACCGGTTTCGCACATTCTTAGGCAGAACTTCCGTAAATGCTGCTTGTTGTTTTCAAATTGTGAACAGTTTTAGCCATCCATCAATAATCCAAAGGTAACATGCATCCGTTCATTAACAAATACAAAGAATGAGTCATTCTATTTCATTAAGTGCTGCTGCAATATAGAGCACTGGCTTTCACGCTGCAACAATACAGGTCGATTTGGTTCGACGGTACTGCTTCCTATTTTGACTATCACGATTAGTAGCAGTCAAAGGCGCGTTCGATAGCTGAAGGTTGCTCAGAAAATACGCCCGTCGCCAAAGCGTGCCAAATGTCAATGGAAAAACGTAAACAAAAGATGGGAAATGTTGACTCTCGTATGGAATTTATTTTGAATAAAACTAAACCTTATTAAAGTAATCCACATACACTGTGTTCGGATTTTTTTTTTCATGAATTGTGTATGTTTTTATCTCATTTGAACCATAAATATTTTTCCACATAATACACTCAAACCCCGCTATAGTGAACCTTCAAGGGACCGAAATTTCTGTTCACTATAACCGGGATTTCACTATATCCGTGCTACAAACAATTTTAACTCATTTTTCCCGAACTGCTCCCTTTTATGACGCATTATTTAAATAAATGACCAGTAAAATGAAATACAAAAATTATTAAAAAACGGTAACAAAAAAAAATTTGTTAACTTTTATTTTTTATGACTCATCGTCTTGCGTTCAAAAAATTTAGGGATGAGAAACTGAGATAGAAGAAGCAAACAAGAAAAAATGGCTACATTCGACTCAATGGAAGGTTTTAGAAATCGGTATTTTATGTAGAAATTTCAAAATGACCAAAAAATGAAGGAACTCGAAGACAGAAAAAAGTACATAATATCCAATTTCCTCTCGTCTTTTGGATCACCCTATCCATAAAAAATATTATATGTGTATAAGCAAGGCACGGGGGCGAATATTTCGTACACTGTAAACCATGTAACGGGGTTTGACTGTACTAATTATTGTAAACAATTGTTAAACCCGTTACTAACCGAAAATTTTTGATGACCGTGCAAATGTTTTTCTTATCAACAACGATACATCACCACTCACTAAAATTAAGAATTTATAAACCAACCAAGCAAAAGTTAATTAAACATTCAAATGTTCTTTTTTATTCAGCATTTCAATAAATACAGATTAAGATTTGAGAAACAGCACAGCTAAAAGTAAGTGAATATTTAATTGAATTTAGCTTCAAAATGTAAAGAAACATCAAAATAATTTTCAGCTTTCCCCAAGGATATATTATTGAAAGGATATATTATTGAAAGGATATATTATTTTCAAAGGATATATTATTTATTTTTGTTCATATATTTACTCTGTATTGTTAACCCCCTTCTTTTGATTTGTTGTTGTTCTTGTTCATTTACGAAGCACTAGAGCTGCACAATGGGCTATTGGCGACGGTCTGGGAAGCATCCCTGAGAATGATCCGAAGACATGCCATCACAATTTTGATCCTTTATAGAGGGGATGGCACCCCCGCTTCGGTAGCCCGACGATCTGCACGCGAAGTCGAGCACTTTACGGTAGAACAGTTTAACGAGAACCCATACCGCACACCCTCGGTCCCTATGCAGGCTGATCCAAGTGGTCACCCACCCGCACACTGACCGTAGCCAGTGATGCTTGATTTCGGTGATCTGCTGGGAACCGTGTCTTAACGATCAGTCCACTGCGGGACCCCTTCTTTTGAACTGAGCTCTTTATTCGCAGGGTATCCGCTACCTTTTACATTTTCAAATTGATGACTTTCCAGGACTAATTCCAAGAATTTTTCATGACCTAACGAAGTTGCTATTTTCTCCGACAAAAAACACAATAAATTATAATAAAAAAAAGCGTTATTATTCTACTTTAACATTCTCTACTGCTTGAACCTTAAGACATAATAACACTCATTGAAATGATAGGTTTAACCAAAACTGTTATACTCTGCATCTTCATATTTATAGATTCTAAATTTAAAAACCAAATAAAGAGAGAGTTGAAGCCATAAAATAGCTGGAAAAAAATACAAAAAGCAAATAATTTTGTTTTCTTTTTTTCTGCAGAATTATATTCTAAAGATACTTTTCTTGTTCATCGGAAAGGAAAGAAATTCTCCTGATTTTTCTGTTTTCATTTCGGAATAATAAAAAAAATTCGCCAATGACTGGTTTGCTTCAGGTAGAATTTTAAATTGATAAAATAAAAATAATAAACAATAACAAAAATTCTGAAATCACAGTAGTTTCAAAGATAATTCGCGACAGAAATGATGTTCCTTCTTTCATTTTTTTTGAAAGAATGCCCTAATTTTCAAAGAACATGATAAAAACATTCTATATTTTAATAAAATGTGACTGTACTGTGGGATTTTTGTTAGAAATTCAGTTGTTTGGAACATCACAACACTGAGAAATTGGGGGGAGGGGTAAATTCCATTTTGAAAATTAGATTTTTCAGTGACCATGACTTTCCATGATCTTTTTTCAAAAAAATAGTTAAAATCATGACATTTCATGACAAATTTTGTTTTATACTGAAATTCCTGACTTTCCATGACTTCTCATGACTTTCCAGGTGCGCAGATGCCCTGTATTTGATTTAAGAAGATAATACAACAAGCATTATACTAAAGTAAATAAATAAATGAACAATTCTTAATAACTTCTACTCTATTGCGTACTCGATCTAAACGGTCCAAATTCACCTAACTTTAAATGTACTAAATAATTAGTGCAGACGTTATTTAATTAAAGATGCGTTAAAGAAATTCTGAGCATTAATTTCTATGTATTAAATGAAGTTACTTTAAAGATTCGTACAACATATTTGATGAAAGATTTTATACCTGTTATAACCATTAGAGCAAGTCTCCCCAATCTTTCTGAATCCAAAAACAAATTTCAGTGGGCGAATATCGGTATTCAACTCCATAGACTTCAATACCTCTTTGAACTCAACACAGGACCCAAGAGAACTACTGAACTAGGAGCAAGCTACTCTTCATGGATTACGTCACATGGAGAAGAAAACCACGAAAAACTCCCACATTTACCCCGAGAGCATAAGGATTCTAACCCACGAGCCATCTACCACTATGGATATTTTCACATGCACCCTGTGCGAACGGGGAGCAGAATTCGTATCCACCAGCCATCGATGGGATTCGAACCTAGGTCTCCTCATTGGGAGGAGAACGTTCTATCCTCTGAGCGCCACCGCGGTTCCAAGCTTATATTTAGTATGATTGAAATCGTCTTTGGTAATTACATTCTTTTTTTCCCGGGAGCATCCACTCACTTTCTGAGAAAAAAGCTGCAAATAGTTAAAATTGTTTGTTTTGAATGCGTTTAGTCCTTGATTTTAGAGTCAGTGTTTTCGTTATCGTTCAAATATTCTGACGGGATGAACATTTGATGACAGAGGGGGGGGGGAGGAGTGTATCCTTAAAATCCTTAAAATCTCTAAAAAATTTAGTAAAAAGCAAAATAGATAACATTTAAAAAAGAAAAAAAAAACGAGATTATAAGAGGGAAAATTTCACCTATGGAATTAAAGTTAAATTAGAAGCAAGAAAAATTCTTTGAATAGTTTCAGAGGTCAAGAGTTTCGAACACAAAAAGAAAACACTCATTTTTCCTGAAGAATATTCTACTAGAAATATTGTGTAAAAAAATTAAAATTTAAATTTTGTTCTATGCAAAGTTTATTCTATTTTAATTTAAACATGATATGAATAATCAAAGTTAAAATAAACAACGCAAGCTTTTTTTTAAAACTTTTTTACATAAGCACGATGAACTTATTTCTGTTGACAAGGGGTGGAAGGAGAGTCCAAGATGCCAAAAATATGCTTACGTAATAGTTAAACGGCCCTTACGAAATTTCCAAAAGCTAATGTTCACCTTCATCGATAATGAACAGGAACCACAACTATTCAAACAATATCTCCAGCTTTTCTTTAATTTTATCCCTAAACTTAGGAATTAGCTTAATATGGCCTTGGAGCTTTTGTTATGGCTGCGACTGCATTATAAATCGAAAGGAGCCAAATGAGCGATTTTTTGCCAAATATGGCAGCCAGAAGAAATCTCGCAACGTAACGTATGGAATGAGACTGGGAGGTGATGCTCGAAAAATTCCACTCAATGCATTTGACAGGGAGGAAAGAAAATAGTTGGAGTGAAACCTCTTCTTTGAACCTCGTCATAAAGATGAGTGCGGAGGGGGGGTGGACTGTAATTAATCCATAATGAAACGGAGCATTGTATTTTCTTATTGGGGGGGGGAATTCTTTTGTTCTTTTGGCAACGGAAGAAAATATGTTAACAAGACGGTATATTGAAGAAGAAACTTTCTGTGGAAAAAAAAATAATCCCCGGTTACCTTATTATAGGATTAGGGAGGTCGGGGATATAATAAGTAGTATAACTGTTCTCCTTTTTAACGGAAGAAATGAGGGGCTGCAAAAAGGAGAGATAGAATAAAAATTACCAGATCTTAACATTCATGGTGAAATTTTTGAAAACAAAAAAGCACTTTATAAATAACCGTAAAAAGACGTCGCCTATTTGAATTGTCTCTTCAACGAGTGAAATGAATTCTCATTTATTTCATCGCATAAAATATATTCCTTCGGTCAATTTTTATTTTCAAGTACACATCTTTCTGTCTGTCTATGTGTACCTGAGAGAGAGAGAGATAATAACTTTTGTTCTAATGATCAGATTTTTACGAACTATGTACTGATTATAATAAATCAAAAGGGAAACCTCTAATATTACAATTAATGAGTTACAGAAATCAGACTAAAAAGTGTACTTTTTTAAAAAATTTTTTAACAGATTTAGTGGTTTTGATTATCAAAATAAGTAGGGTGGCCTGTAATATAGAAAGTATGATACCGATAATTTAGGCAGTAGAGGGGTGAATTTTCCGAATTTTCTTAGAAATTGGAAAGTTTTTTTTGCACACAATTTCATTGCTTTATCCAAGGACAATTCCGTGAGAACATTCATTTTAGAAAGTTTTAAATTATTTATTTAGGGTCAAAAATTGAATAATTTGAAAAGCAGTTTAAATTATCTAAAAAAAAAAAATTTACAATATTTTAAACGAGATAATTTTAAATGAAATACAAAATTCGTGCTAAGTTGTATGAATAGCTTTTGAGAAATTAAAGTTTAAAATAGTCTTTCTCTCTCTCTTTTTTTTTATTTGTAATTT